GTTTTAACGTGAGCGTGTCTTAACCAGACAGACAAACAGACGGACATAGCTAAATCGACTTAGAATTTCATAAGGACCCAGAATATATAACTTTGTTCGGTATCAGATGACTTTTTTTTGGTGTTACACACGGAATGACAAACTTATATATACCCTCTATCACCACTGATGGTGGTGGAGGGTATAATACACTGTCTGTTGCCAAATTTCTTGAAAATAGGTTCATTTTTTTATATTTAGCCTAGAAATTTGGTGTTATAGCTGTTATTCAAAAAGTGAACATAAAAATGTGCGTAGCATCCAATCAATACCATATAGAGTTTTTTTTAACTTCTGAGGTTAGACCTTTTAAATGCCAAATTTTATGTAAATAAGTTCATTAGTTATGTAGTGAAAGAGTAAAAAAAGTCTCATATATATTTATTATTATATATTATAGGTTTTGAAGATGTAATGTGTCGTACTGTTCATTCCACAACATTCATTATAACAGATTTCATGAAAATCGGATCGGTAGTATTTTTGTATGCCTGTACGTAAATTTGGTTTAATAATTGTTTTACAAAAAGTTGGTGTAAAAAAGGGCGTGGCGTCCGATCCAGATCCTGAGATCGGTATATCAAATTTTATGTAAATCGGTTCAGTAGTTTTCTGTAAGTCTCGAATGAAAATTTTCTATAACAATTATATAGAAAAAAGTGAGCATAAGAAGAATCGTGACGTCAAATCATGATTTTATATATCCTATTGTTCCACTTTAGAATAGAACTATTACTGTTCTAAATTTCATGAAAATCGGTTCAGCAGTTTGTCCGTGAAAGCGTAACATACAGACTTTCTCTTTCATATAATTATAGGGTAAGATATAGTTAAGGATAATTTTATAAATAGTGGGTGTAGAAAGGTATGCAAAATTTCAGGTTAATCGGTTTAGTAGTTTTTGCATATTGCGATTGTAAAATTGGTGTAATAATAGTTTTACAAAAAGTGGGCGTAAAAAGGGGCGTGGCATCCGATAAAGGTCTTATATAGCCTATTGTTCCTTTTGGGGTTAGACCTATTAGCTGTCCAAATTTCATGTAAATCGGTTCAGAAGTTTTGCCGTGAAAGCGTAACAAACAAACAGTCTGTTTTATATAAATATAGGATTTAGGAAACTTTTTTTGAGAAATTATACTGAAATCAGCATTCTCAATCACTGGTAGGGAACTAAGGACACTTTCAAATTAGTTGTTTTATTTGTGCAGTTGATTTAAAGAACTGTTCAGTTTAAATTCGGTCACACTGTACTTTAATTGTAGTGCCCCTGGTGTATAGAGACAAAAGGGTTCGGGGCGTTTTATTGACTACAAAAATACGTACCATTAACCGTACAAAATTTCAAGTCATTTTCTTTCTATTTGAAAAAGTACGGGCAATTGAAGAAACTCTAAAACGATTATGAAGCATTCTGCACAAAATTATGAAAAATTTGGAACATTTCAAATTCCTTTAAAAATAATAAAATTAAGTTTTTTTCTGTTCTAAGAAATATGAAGAATATCGTTAGATGTACAAAGCAGATACCCAATTAATTTTACTTATTATTTGTATATGGTAAATGGAAAATGTGTGCTGGAGTTATTCAAAATTATTATTTAACTAGCTGCGCGAACCCGGCGTTGCCCGGGTTTCTTCTAAAATAAAATTATTCTGTCTGTAATGACTATACTTTTTTTAATAGATGTAAAAATTTAGCTTATAAGGATAAAAAAAATATTATATTTTTCTGCAGTCAGTTTCTGGTCAAAAATATCCCTTAAAAATTTACAAATTGAAAATGAGCTTTAATTAGGAAATTTTGACCAATTTTTAGAAAAATTTAAGAAACATTTTTTAGAAATTATACTGAAACCAGCATTCTCAATCACTGTTAGGGAACTAAGGACACTTTCAAATTAGTTCCCAGCAGAAATTTTCATTACCTAGTAATCTAGAAAGTAATATTGGAATCACGTGGAAACTAATTACTTTTGGGGTGAATAACTAATTATTTTTGTTCGACGAGGTTCAAATAATATGTACCTACCTTAAACAAATTAATAAATGGTTGCTAATTTGATTACAAAAACTTTGCGAAATAACTAGTTACAAATAAACCTACAAATATGTTATGTGATAGCTAGTTATTTTGGGCCGACTTTGTATGTAGAAAACAAAAAATAAAAAAATTCTCGGCCGGGATTTGAACCCAGGCATTCAGTTGTTTTCTATGTTTCTCACTCCAGCCGTTTACTCGATGCTCCATTAACATGTTGCTTTTTGTAATTTTGAAAACGGCATTTTACAAAAAAAAATAAAAAAATGAATGTCATTTTGAAAAAAAAAAAAATAAACAGTATCCAACAGGGCTCGAACCACGAACCCCCTGTTTGTTAAATAAACGACCTAGACAATTGAGCCATAACAAATCCAAATTGTTTTGTTCTTTACCAGTAATAACCTATTCAGCTAAATGAAATAATGTGGATGATAATGAACACTCATTACCAAGTAATGTATGAAATAACTACTGGCTATTACCAAAAATTTCAGATTTTTGCTGGGTTGTTTTGTTTTTCCCATGTGCAGACACTGTACTTTGAATTGTAATACCCTGGTGTATAGAGACAAAAGGCTTCGGGGCATTTTATTAACTACAAAAATACGTACCATTAACCGTACAAAATTTCAAGCAATTTTCTTTCTATTTGAAAAAGTACGGGCAATTGAAGAAACACTGAAATGATTATGAAGCATTCTGCACAAAATTATGAAAAATTTGGAAGATTTCAAATTCCTTTAAAAATAATAAAATTAAATTTTTCTCTGATCTAAAAAATATGAAGAATATCGTCAGATGTACAAAGCAGATACCCAAATAATTTTACTTATTATTTGTAAATGGTAAATGGAAAATGTGTGCTGGAGTTATTCAAAATTATTATTTAATTTGAAAAGCTTAGAATAAATACGGCGCTACACAGTGGGGCAGAATGGAATTTTTTTGGAAATAAATCTGGCATTTCTAAACGGCTGATCCGATCGGGATAAAATTTGGCGTGAGCGTAGCCAAGGAGTATTCGAGTTTAAGTTTTGAAGATGAACACTGCAGATGCCCCAGGGACGGCGCTGTGGCGGCTCAAAGTAGGGTACCTACGACATGTAAAATTTTTAAACTCGTGTCATTTTTTGTTTTTCACCCAAATACAAAGATTTTTATATTTTCTGAAAGCGCTCGACGAGATCTTCAAAAAACATGCTTGGACATACTACTTATCTTATAATATTTACAAAATTTACCATACCTTGGTCCGCCTTTTTTTGAATACCGGGCATAATTTTGGACCAAATGGACTCAATTTCTTTAAGAACATATAACAATTTTATAATTTTCTAAAAGGTATCTTTACGCAGAACGCTTTGGCGTAAAAAACTTGTCCTATTTTTTGAAAATGTTGCCACTGCGTCCTTCCGAATATGACCTACTTTTTATCAAAACTTCAACTTTGGGCGACATGTTCTAAAATCCCAAAGCTGGGATCAGAAAACTGAAAGCAGTTATGGAAACCTCAATATGTTTTCTATTTACTCCTAAAGTACTTTCCCAGCCCTGAAAGAAATGTGGACCCTATAGGCAAAAAAGTAAAAAATCCCATTTTTGGGATTTTCATTCCTATTTTTGGGAATTACGGGATGCCCTTTGACCTTTTCAAGCGTTGAAAATTTCACTGAGTTTTGTTCATAAATAAAGATTTTGTCATATATTACATATTTGTTTAATTTCTAAAACTATGATTTATATCAGAATTTTAATAGGGTCGCAGATAGCTACAACAATTTAGTCCATATTTATCCCTTAATATCTTTTTTTAGTTAGATATGGAAATTCTCGATTCTTTACAAAAATTTTCAAGTCAATATCTCAATTACATTCAAAAATATGTTCATTTAAACCTGTATCCTTTAATTTCATATTTTTCATATTTTAGTAAATATGACAGAACATATTTAAATCTTATATTTACCTATTTTCATTTTGTTTGCTTATCCTTATAATTGAAAGGTCCTATTATGCTTAAATTTTCAGAAATATATAACTATTTTTTACCTAAATTTTTTCGACAGATCATTTCGTTCTGTTTCGTTTATGATCATGTAGGTAAAAATATACAGGTAATGATAATTTCGATTCATTCTGTTGGAGAATCAGTATTTTATTTTATTTATTTTAACTTTTAATTATAAATTTCCTATTGGGGTTTCTGAAAATGTAACACTTATCATTAAACTCACATTTGCTATCTCTTTACCTCAATATTAAAATATAACCAGTATTTTTAAGCTGCTTTTAATTTATGTAATGTACATCATGTTAATTACATTGTTCATTCTCATTGTATTTTTTGTATTAATTATATATTTCTTCCTTTAATCTACCTACTTCTGTACTTAAGTATAATAACGGTTTTTATTTACACTGATTTTGGAATTTTTGGTACATATTAACTACTGGTACATTAAACTGAGAACATTATAATATCATCTGCCTTGCTGCGTAATTAAGTCTAAAGCCGAGCTGCTTAATAATCGAATTTAAGTTTGATAAAGTTTACAGCCAAGCTGCTTATTTAATAAATTTAAGTTAAAATCAAAAGTGTAGTTTGATTAATTCTCATACATTAAAATTGGTGCCGAAACCCGGGAAATACCCATTTGTAATAAAATATCATAGCCGCTTGTAATTGAACTCTGATTGTGGAAACTTCTTGGAATTGGATTCATCTTGGTGGACTTATGAGAAGGCTTTTATTTTTTGAACGATTCCGCTATCAACCGAAGCCAAATAAATAAACCAGCTTTGCATTTATCTTGCTTGTATTTGAAATTGTATTTCGATCGATTCCAGGATTATTTAATCGGAAAATTTTGGTTTGAAATCATAATAAACCGTATATATAAATCTTAATTTTGTATTAAGAATGGAAGACATTTCAAATATAATTGAAGACCAACGTGGGTTATTAGACAATTTAAAACGAACATCTCAGAGGTTTGATAGTAAATCTAGGGTTCTAAAGACACGAGGTTATGTTCAAACCATTTTGGAAGCTATAGAATCAGTATGTCAGCAGTTTACAGATACACACCATCTTATTAGTTTAATTCGAGAAAGGTCCATTAGGTCAGATGATGTACCCTATTTTTCTGAAGAAATTTTTGAGGAATTTCAAGATTTCTTTCAAATGTTTAAAGGAAGATTGCTAGATATTAATGCTGAGACTCAGCAACCTCATTCGCCAATATTTCACTCAAGCACATTTCATGCATCAACATCTAGGCAAAATACGACGATACCAGCTGAAGCACGATTGCCCAAAATTGATATACCAACCTTTTCTGGAGACTACCTGTCTTGGATCTCATATAGAGATATGTTCGTATCATTAGTACATAGTAATGTGTCATTATCAAAGATACAGAAATAGTATTTCCTTAAGGGTCTTGCTCTGGTACTCCACTAGACATTGTTAATGAATATCCAGCTTCTGAGGAAAATTACGACTTAGCATGGGATGCTCTTAATAGGCGTTATCACAATCGTAGAAAAATTGTTAGCACCCTATTATCTAAACTGTTCTCAATTCCGAATTCCAATGGTACTGCCGAAAGTATACAGAATATTTTGGATACTACACGCAATTGTTTAGCTCTAATAAATACTTTAGGAGTCACAAAGGAAACCTATGATGCAATTATAATACACATCACTGTAAATCGCCTTGACGTTCAATCAAGAAAGGAGTGGGAACAGTCGCTTAAAGCCACAGTAGAAATTCCTAAGATCAGAGAACTTTTTAGTTTTTTGGAAACATCGTTTAGGACACTTGAATCTCTCGCAGAACCTACTCAGTCAATTTCGCGTGCAAAGACATACCCAAACTCTAGAAATAATTTTCGTAGAAATATCCATATAACAACTTCGAACGATGATAGCAATTGCCCATGCTGCAACAGACGTCATTTCTTATACAAATGTTTTAAATTTATATCTATGCCATCGAACGAAAAACGTGAACTTATGAAAACCAAACGAATTTGTCATAATTGTTTGAATGTTGGTCACTTTAGTCGCGAATGCCGCTCAACAGCTCGTTGCCAGACATGCCAACAAAAACACCACACCATAGTTCATAATGAATTTACAACATCAGCGTCTACGGACCAAATATCGTCTAATAGATCAGAGACAACAGAGAACTCTTCCAATATTGCAATACACTGTAGTGCACTCGCAAAACCTCAAGTTTTATTAGCCACAATGCGAGTTAGTGTTAAAACATACTATGGAACTTTTTCCCTCAGGGCAATGTTAGACCACTGTGCCCAAGCCACACTTATTACTGAAAATGCATCACAAACTTTAAGATTACAGTCCTTTAAAACATTTGCTCAAATTAGTGGAGTTTGTATAAATAAATCTATTACTACTCATAAATATGTAAATTTAGTACTGCAATCTAGAACAGAACCTAGTTTTGAATTGAAATGTAGTGCTCTTGTTGTACCGTCCATCACACATTACCAACCTATACCAACAAATAAGGGAAAACTTCCAAATATCGATAATTTTCAATTAGCTGACCCAGAATTCTTAAATCCTGGAGAAATTGATTTACTACTGGGTGGAGATGTTTATGGTGAGATAATTTTACCCGATCAAAAGAAATTTGAAAATAATATTTTCTTACAGTACACCCACTTTGGGTGGGTTGTATCAGGACCCACTTCTAAATTCGTTTATAGCGACCTCATTAATGTGAATATTTGCTCATTAGAAGAACAATTAAAGGCCTTTTGGCTTCAAGAAGAATTACTAGAAAAGAGAAAGTGGACAGAAGAAGAAGAACTTTGTGAAAGATATTTTAAGGCAACAACAACAAGAGATAGCACGGGTCGATACAAAGTTGCTTTGCCGTTTAAAAATATAATTAAAGGTGAACCAATGCCAATGTTTAGTATGACTGATTATAGCGCACTTTCACGATTGAAAAATATAGAAGCAAAATGTAAACAAAATCCTAAATTTGGGGACGCTTATTATAAATTTATGACTGAATATGAAAACTTAGATCACATGAAAGCGGTTGGTGTATATCCCAATGATTTGGGAAGAAATTGCTACTTTTTACCACACCATGGAGTTTGGAGGGAAAGTAGTTCTACAACGAAATTAAGAGTAGTGTTTGACGGTAGCGCTAAAAATTGTACAAAATCTTCATTAAATGATGAATTGGCTGCAGGGCCAGCACTTCAAAATGATTTACCTACTACTGTTATACGTTGGAGACGCTTTAAAGTTGGCTTTCGATCAGACTTAGAAAAAATGTTTCGCCAAATTAATGTTATAAATGACCACCAAAAGTACCAACAAATATTGTGGCGTAAAAGTGCCAATAGTGATATCAATATCTACAAATTATCGACAGTTACCTACGGTACAACTTCTGCCCCTTTTCTGTCTATGAGAGTACTACATCAATTAGCAGAAGATGAGACTGAAAATTATCCAACAGCAAGTAAAGTGCTCATCTCTGATACATACGTTGATGATATAATTTCAGGTGCTGATAGTTACGATGAAGCTATTCTGCTACAACAACAGTTGTCTAAAATGTTAAAAAAGGGTGGTTTTACACTAAGAAAGTGGATCTCTAATGACAGACAATTTATTAGTAGTATACCTATTGAATATAGAGAGATTAAGGACGTATTTTAAATAGATAAAACCGACAGTGTTAAAGCTCTAGGTCTGGAATGGAATGTCAACACAGACTCTTTCTCTTTTAAAGTTAACTTTAAGCGTAATGATACAGTAACCAAAAGAAGTATACTTTCTGATGCTGCAAAATTATATGATCCGTTAGGGTGACTGTCCCCATCAACAATTAAGGCAAAGATAATGTTTCAAAGGTTGTGGTTGTTAGGAGTTGACTGGAATGACCCCCTTCCTCAACATATAGCATCCGAGTGGCTAACATATATGGAAAATTTAAAAGGATTAGAAATTATTAAAATACCTAGATGGATCGGATTAGTTAAAACAGCTAAACTTGAGCTACACGCATTTAGTGATGCGTCCACATTAGCGTTTTCAGCCGTAGTTTATTCTAAAGTTACTGCTGTTGATGGTAATTCCGTAATAAGTCTCCTACAAGCTAAAACAAAAGTAAGTCCTCTTAAAAGACTATCTATTCCAAGGCTAGAATTATGTGGCGCTACACTTTTAGTCAAGTTAGTTAATAAAATCCATACAAAATTTGAACATAAAATTGATAATATCACTTATTGGACTGACAATACAACCGTTTTATGCTGGATAAGAGGTCAATCTTCGAAATGGACAGTTTACGTTGGTAATAGAGTGGCTGAGATTCAAAGGTTTTCAAACGCAGAGCAGTGGAAATATATAGCATCCAATGAGAATCCTGCCGATTGTGCGTCCAGAGGCATACTCCCAAGCGATCTTGCTAAAAATGATATGTGGTGGGCGGGCCCTAAATGGTTGAAAGAGAACATACAAAACTGGCCACTACAACCCTCGTTAAATTATGAAACTGCTGAGGAAATATCTAAGTCATATGTAACAATAAATGCTTCAACTAATACAACTGTTAAAAATAAATATCCATATATATTTCAACTCTATTCGTCTTTAGAAAAACTTGTTAGAATAACCTCTTATATTTATCGATTTCAATATAACATAATGATTCAAAAACGACATAAACAAAATCAAGCAATAGATAAATGTAAGATGACTGGTTTTCTCACCACAATTGAACAAAGAGCTTCACTTGGACGAAATAAGTGAATTACAAAAATATGGAAAGCTATCGGTCAATAATCACCTTCCACGCTTGTGTCCATTTATTGATTCTGAGAATATATTACGTGTGGGAGGACGGTTACAAAATTCTAATTTGGCTTATTCTTCAAAACATCCAATTTTGCTTAAAAAACAAAACCCAATGTCAACTCTTATATTTACAGATGCGCATATAAAAACCTTGCATGGGTCTCTTTTACAGATGCAATCGTACGTAGCGAGAAAGTACTGGATTTTATATGGTCGAAATTTGGCAAAAATGGTAATACGATGTTGCACAAAGTGTTTCAAATATAACGCTAAAGCATCGCAACAAATGATGGGTAACCTTCCTACTGTACGTTTAACGCCTTCTCGTCCATTTAAACATAGCGGTGTCGATTATGCAGGACCCATAATTATCAAACAGTCAACTGCGAGAAATGCGGTTACAACGAAAGGGTACATATGTCTCTTTATTTGTATGGTAACAAAGGCATTACACTTAGAAGCCGTTACGAATCTGTCAACGGAAGCATTCTTGGCTGCATTCCGCAGATTTTCTTCTCGTCGTGGAAAATGTACAGATCTGTACTCTGATTGCGGTACGAATTTCATTGGTGCAAATAAAGAACTGCAGATTTTATATAACCGAAATAAGTCGTCGCTACCAGAGGAATTGCTAGAAATACTGGCTGCTGATGGAACTCAGTGGCATTTTATACCACCAGCTACACCAAATTTCGGCGGTCTTTGGGAAGCCGGCGTTAAGTCGACAAAGTACCATCTTAAACGTTTACTAGATTGCAAGGTTGTTACTTATGAAGAATTAAGCACTTTTCTGGCTCAAATAGAAAGTAAATCTAGGGTTCTAAAGACACGAGGTTATGTTCAAACCATTTTGGAAGCTATAGAATCAGTATGTCAGCAGTTTACAGATACACACCATCTTATTAGTTTAATTCGAGAAAGGTCCATTAGGTCAGATGATGTACCCTATTTTTCTGAAGAAATTTTTGAGGAATTTCAAGATTTCTTTCAAATGTTTAAAGGAAGATTGCTAGATATTAATGCTGAGACTCAGCAACCTCATTCGCCAATATTTCACTCAAGCACATTTCATGCATCAACATCTAGGCAAAATACGACGATACCAGCTGAAGCACGATTGCCCAAAATTGATATACCAACCTTTTCTGGAGACTACCTGTCTTGGATCTCATATAGAGATATGTTCGTATCATTAGTACATAGTAATGTGTCATTATCAAAGATACAGAAATAGTATTTCCTTAAGGGTTCTTGCTCTGGTACTCCACTAGACATTGTTAATGAATATCCAGCTTCTGAGGAAAATTACGACTTAGCATGGGATGCTCTTAATAGGCGTTATCACAATCGTAGAAAAATTGTTAGCACCCTATTATCTAAACTGTTCTCAATTCCGAATTCCAATGGTACTGCCGAAAGTATACAGAATATTTTGGATACTACACGCAATTGTTTAGCTCTAATAAATACTTTAGGAGTCACAAAGGAAACCTATGATGCAATTATAATACACATCACTGTAAATCGCCTTGACGTTCAATCAAGAAAGGAGTGGGAACAGTCGCTTAAAGCCACAGTAGAAATTCCTAAGATCAGAGAACTTTTTAGTTTTTTGGAAACATCGTTTAGGACACTTGAATCTCTCGCAGAACCTACTCAGTCAATTTCGCGTGCAAAGACATACCCAAACTCTAGAAATAATTTTCGTAGAAATATCCATATAACAACTTCGAACGATGATAGCAATTGCCCATGCTGCAACAGACGTCATTTCTTATACAAATGTTTTAAATTTATATCTATGCCATCGAACGAAAAACGTGAACTTATGAAAACCAAACGAATTTGTCATAATTGTTTGAATGTTGGTCACTTTAGTCGCGAATGCCGCTCAACAGCTCGTTGCCAGACATGCCAACAAAAACACCACACCATAGTTCATAATGAATTTACAACATCAGCGTCTACGGACCAAATATCGTCTAATAGATCAGAGACAACAGAGAACTCTTCCAATATTGCAATACACTGTAGTGCACTCGCAAAACCTCAAGTTTTATTAGCCACAATGCGAGTTAGTGTTAAAACATACTATGGAACTTTTTCCCTCAGGGCAATGTTAGACCACTGTGCCCAAGCCACACTTATTACTGAAAATGCATCACAAACTTTAAGATTACAGTCCTTTAAAACATTTGCTCAAATTAGTGGAGTTTGTATAAATAAATCTATTACTACTCATAAATATGTAAATTTAGTACTGCAATCTAGAACAGAACCTAGTTTTGAATTGAAATGTAGTGCTCTTGTTGTACCGTCCATCACACATTACCAACCTATACCAACAAATAAGGGAAAACTTCCAAATATCGATAATTTTCAATTAGCTGACCCAGAATTCTTAAATCCTGGAGAAATTGATTTACTACTGGGTGGAGATGTTTATGGTGAGATAATTTACCCGATCAAAAGAAATTTGAAAATAATATTTTCTTACAGTACACCCACTTTGGGTGGGTTGTATCAGGACCCACTTCTAAATTCGTTTATAGCGACCTCATTAATGTGAATATTTGCTCATTAGAAGAACAATTAAAGGCCTTTTGGCTTCAAGAAGAATTACTAGAAAAGAGAAAGTGGACAGAAGAAGAAGAACTTTGTGAAAGATATTTTAAGGCAACAACAACAAGAGATAGCACGGGTCGATACAAAGTTGCTTTGCCGTTTAAAAATATAATTAAAGGTGAACCAATGCCAATGTTTAGTATGACTGATTATAGCGCACTTTCACGATTGAAAAATATAGAAGCAAAATGTAAACAAAATCCTAAATTTGGGGACGCTTATTATAAATTTATGACTGAATATGAAAACTTAGATCACATGAAAGCGGTTGGTGTATATCCCAATGATTTGGGAAGAAATTGCTACTTTTTACCACACCATGGAGTTTGGAGGGAAAGTAGTTCTACAACGAAATTAAGAGTAGTGTTTGACGGTAGCGCTAAAAATTGTACAAAATCTTCATTAAATGATGAATTGGCTGCAGGGCCAGCACTTCAAAATGATTTACCTACTACTGTTATACGTTGGAGACGCTTTAAAGTTGGCTTTCGATCAGACTTAGAAAAAATGTTTCGCCAAATTAATGTTATAAATGACCACCAAAAGTACCAACAAATATTGTGGCGTAAAAGTGCCAATAGTGATATCAATATCTACAAATTATCGACAGTTACCTACGGTACAACTTCTGCCCCCTTTACGATGAAGCTATTCTGCTACAACAACAGTTGTCTAAAATGTTAAAAAAGGGTGGTTTTACACTAAGAAAGTGGATCTCTAATGACAGACAATTTATTAGTAGTATACCTATTGAATATAGAGAGATTAAGGACGTATTTTAAATAGATAAAACCGACAGTGTTAAAGCTCTAGGTCTGGAATGGAATGTCAACACAGACTCTTTCTCTTTTAAAGTTAACTTTAAGCGTAATGATACAGTAACCAAAAGAAGTATACTTTCTGATGCTGCAAAATTATATGATCCGTTAGGGTGACTGTCCCCATCAACAATTAAGGCAAAGATAATGTTTCAAAGGTTGTGGTTGTTAGGAGTTGACTGGAATGACCCCCTTCCTCAACATATAGCATCCGAGTGGCTAACATATATGGAAAATTTAAAAGGATTAGAAATTATTAAAATACCTAGATGGATCGGATTAGTTAAAACAGCTAAACTTGAGCTACACGCATTTAGTGATGCGTCCACATTAGCGTTTTCAGCCGTAGTTTATTCTAAAGTTACTGCTGTTGATGGTAATTCCGTAATAAGTCTCCTACAAGCTAAAACAAAAGTAAGTCCTCTTAAAAGACTATCTATTCCAAGGCTAGAATTATGTGGCGCTACACTTTTAGTCAAGTTAGTTAATAAAATCCATACAAAATTTGAACATAAAATTGATAATATCACTTATTGGACTGACAATACAACCGTTTTATGCTGGATAAGAGGTCAATCTTCGAAATGGACAGTTTACGTTGGTAATAGAGTGGCTGAGATTCAAAGGTTTTCAAACGCAGAGCAGTGGAAATATATAGCATCCAATGAGAATCCTGCCGATTGTGCGTCCAGAGGCATACTCCCAAGCGATCTTGCTAAAAATGATATGTGGTGGGCGGGCCCTAAATGGTTGAAAGAGAACATACAAAACTGGCCACTACAACCCTCGTTAAATTATGAAACTGCTGAGGAAATATCTAAGTCATATGTAACAATAAATGCTTCAACTAATACAACTGTTAAAAATAAATATCCATATATATTTCAACTCTATTCGTCTTTAGAAAAACTTGTTAGAATAACCTCTTATATTTATCGATTTCAATATAACATAATGATTCAAAAACGACATAAACAAAATCAAGCAATAGATAAATGTAAGATGACTGGTTTTCTCACCACAATTGAACAAAGAGCTTCACTTGGACGAAATAAGTGAATTACAAAAATATGGAAAGCTATCGGTCAATAATCACCTTCCACGCTTGTGTCCATTTATTGATTCTGAGAATATATTACGTGTGGGAGGACGGTTACAAAATTCTAATTTGGCTTATTCTTCAAAACATCCAATTTTGCTTAAAAAACAAAACCCAATGTCAACTCTTATATTTACAGATGCGCATATAAAAACCTTGCATGGGTCTCTTTTACAGATGCAATCGTACGTAGCGAGAAAGTACTGGATTTTATATGGTCGAAATTTGGCAAAAATGGTAATACGATGTTGCACAAAGTGTTTCAAATATAACGCTAAAGCATCGCAACAAATGATGGGTAACCTTCCTACTGTACGTTTAACGCCTTCTCGTCCATTTAAACATAGCGGTGTCGATTATGCAGGACCCATAATTATCAAACAGTCAACTGCGAGAAATGCGGTTACAACGAAAGGGTACATATGTCTCTTTATTTGTATGGTAACAAAGGCATTACACTTAGAAGCCGTTACGAATCTGTCAACGGAAGCATTCTTGGCTGCATTCCGCAGATTTTCTTCTCGTCGTGGAAAATGTACAGATCTGTACTCTGATTGCGGTACGAATTTCATTGGTGCAAATAAAGAACTGCAGATTTTATATAACCGAAATAAGTCGTCGCTACCAGAGGAATTGCTAGAAATACTGGCTGCTGATGGAACTCAGTGGCATTTTATACCACCAGCTACACCAAATTTCGGCGGTCTTTGGGAAGCCGGCGTTAAGTCGACAAAGTACCATCTTAAACGTTTACTAGATTGCAAGGTTGTTACTTATGAAGAATTAAGCACTTTTCTGGCTCAAATAGAAAGTTGTCTAAATTCTAGACCTCTGTGTCCATTAAACAATGATCCAACTGATGCTAATGCTTTGACACCATCTCATTTTCTAATCGGAGAAGCAACAAACTGTATACCAGAGGAAAATTTATTAGACTGCAACATTAATCGACTCACAAGATGGAAGGCAATTGAAAAACTTAAACAACATTTTTGGCACCGTTGGAGAAATGAATGGTTGTGTCGTTTACAATCTAGGCCTAAGTGGTTGAAACCAAAAGGAAATACTAAAGTGGGAGATCTTGTACTTATTATTGATGAACGCTGCCCACCTGGAACATGGCCGTTAGCTCGCGTGAAGGAAGTGCATCCTGGTGCAGATGGTATCGTACGAGTGGTTACTATACAATCCCATGGAAAAATCTTTAAGCGACCCGTTTCAAAAATTGCATTTTTGCCGTCAGATGAAGATTATGAAAAGCTAAGAAATAACTCTGACTGAAGAACAGTTGTTCTTGGAGGGGGAAAATGTTGGAGAATCAGTATTTTATTTTATTTATTTTAACTTTTAATTATAAATTTCCTATTGGGGTTTCTGAAAATGTAACACTTATCATTAAACTCACATTTGCTATCTCTTTACCTCAATATTAAAATATAACCAGTATTTTTAAGCTGCTGTTAATTTATGTAATGTACATCATGTTAATTACATTGTTCATTCTCATTGTAATTTTTGTATTAATTATATATTTCTTCCTTTAATCTACCTACTTCTGTACTTAAGTATAATAACGGTTTTTATTTACACTGATTTTGGAATTTTTGGTACATATTAACTACGACTTAAAATTATATTACTATTCATGATTTTTTGATACTCTGTTAAAAAACATTAAACTGAGAACATTATAATATCATCTGCCTTGCTGTGTAATTAAGTCTAAAGCCGAGCTGCTTAATAATCGAATTTAAGTTTGATAAAGTTTACAGCCAAGCTGCTTATTTAATAAATTTAAGTTAAAATCAAAAGTGTAGTTTGATTAATTGTCATACCCATTCACTAATAAGAAATATCAATGACTGAATTACAGGTTATAGTAATATAGTCCTAAATGTTAATATGTAGACAATTCGTAATTTTTTACTTTGGAATACCTGTATCGGAAATGACAAGAATTGGTATATAAGTAAACTTCTCAGATTTTAAGTACCATATTTAATAAATCTACAATGAAGATTACATTAAAGTACGAAGAGTTGTGTTCCGTTTTATGGAGTGTATCTTCAAAAGGGCCAGAAAGAATTGAAGACATTTCAAATTATATAAAAACTACATATAGTAGAAAAGTAGACAAAACAAGCATATCAGAAATTGAAAACTTTTTGATGTAAAAAGTAAGTCTGTGGATGGAAATCAAAAGAAATTTCGATTAAAAGTTTGTAGTTGGATGGAAACTACTACGGAAATCTCAACTTACAACACATCAACAGGAGCGCCTTGCAAGTCATGTTCAAGGTCAAGACTTATGTTCAAGGTAAAAAAAAGAGGGTCACACAAAAACTTTTTTCAATATCAAATGAGGAAATTGCTGATACATTTAACGAAATGCTGAAAAAGGAAAACCAACCTATGGATGTCGTACATATTGCAACTATTCTTCCTTAAGCGAATTGTGGAAAGTATACCAACTCCAACATCACAATCAAATTTTACTGAAGAGGAAGCAATATCGCTTATGTTGGAACTGGGTCTCAGTCGAAATAAGTACCAAATATTAAGGAAAGCTCTGCATGAAAAAGGACACAATATATTTCCATCATACAAGGCGATCCAGGAAAAAAAACAAACTATCCTACCATCACCTATTGCTGTTAATGATGTGGAAGCTTGTATTGATATATCATCTTTGCTCGAAAACACAGCATCAAGAATTGTGTCAGACTTTTCAGAAGACCAACTAAGTAAAATTCATAACTGTGATGTTGTCTTAATGTGTAAGTGGGGATGTGACGGTTTATCAGCACTTCCAGAATACAAACAAGCTTGTGGAAGTCGGACATTAGCAGACTACAAAAGTGTATTTATGTCACCATTAGTGCCATTACGAATTCGTTCATATTCCCTTAATCCATCATCGTCAAGCATCGGAAATTCATTTGAAGATATATGGATCAATACAACTCCGGGTTCAAAAAATTTTTGTAGGCCCATTGGATTTGAATATATAAAGGAGTCAAAGAAAACAACAAAATATTTAGTGGAATATTTAAAAGATGAAATAAATTCACTGGAGCCCATTTGCATAAAAATAAAGGAATTCTCTATTAACGTATCATATCAGCTAAGCTTAACAATGATTGATGGAAAGGTCAGCAATGCCATAACAGAAACTTCTTCCTTCTTGAGATGCTCAATATGTAATGAGAAAAAGTCGCAATTCTCAAATATAAACAAAAGCAGAAGTATTAATGAAGAAGTCCTGTCTTTCGGAATTTCACCACTTCATGCCAGAATACGATTTTTGGATTACTTTTTACACATAGCATACGACCTCAAATATAGAAGTGTGCCAGAGAATCTTACTAAATCAACAAAAAATAATGAAGAATTGAAAGAACTGAGAGCTGCGGAAAAAAGCAGAATCCAAGAAGAATTTAAAGTTCAGATGGGATTAAACATCGACAAACCACTTCCAAGTTGCGGTAGTACAAATGACGGTAATACGGAGAGAATGTTTTTTCGTGATTTTGAAATTACTTCAAAAATAACTGGAATCGACAAGGAGTTGCTTCGAAGAGTTAACACTATTTTAATGGCACTGAATAGTAAACATAAAATTAATGGAAATCGATTTGGGGAATATACATCTGAAATTTCTAAATTACTTGTATCTCTGTATCCATGGAGGGAACTAACACCAACAGTACACAAAGTATTGTGTCATGGTCAAATAATAATTGAATCTAATATTCTTCCACTTGGAGAGTTAACAGAAGAAGCCCAGGAAGCGAGGAATCGAGATTTTAAGCATGTTCAACTATTCAGCTCAAGAAAATGCTCCAGGCAATCACAGAATGAAGATATTTTTAATAGTTTACTTCTATCTTCTGATCCTGTTCTTTCAACTATGCGAAAAAGATGGATTTGTTATAAAACTCTATCATCTCAAAACAAGGAAGATTTAAAGGACTTATATTACCTTCTGGATATGTATACCGATATGATAGATTATTTTATAGAAAATAAGTAGTGTTAGGAATTAACTATATAAGTAGGTTGTAAGAATTAATTGTATTATGTTTAAGATAAACAGTTCAAATAAAAATAGCTATTATACTAACTGATGATATTGTATTAGATTGTGTTTTATGTTTCGGTGGGCGGGAAAGGTGGTTTGTGTGGGGTGATTTAGGTGTTGTTGTGCGTGGCTCATAATAAAATTATAATTTTTTTATTGTATATACAATTTTATAGTCTTTAATAAAATAATTAACTAAATAATTTTTAAAAATTGTCCAAATATTTTATTCAACACCAAATGTATGTTCTGTCATACTTAATACTAAAATATGAAAAAGATGAAATTAAAGGACACAGGTTTAAATGAACATATTTTTGAATGTTATTGGAGATATTGGCTTGAAATTTTTTGTAAAGGGTCGAGAATTTCCATATCTAACTAAAAAATGATATTAAGGGATAAATATGGACTAAATTGTTGTAGTTATCTGCGACCCTATTAAAATTTTGATATAAATCATAGTTTTAGAAATTAAACAAATATGTAATATATGACAAAATCTTTATTTATGAATAAAACTCAATGAAATTTTCAACGCTTGTTAAATTTGTCATTTCAAATAAGAAAATGCAAAAAAAAAATTGAAAAGGTCAAAGGGCATCCCGCAATTCCCAAAAATAGGAATGAAAATCCCAAAAATGAAATTTTTACTTTTTTGCCCACAGGGTCCACATTTCTTTCAGGGCTGGGAAAATACTTTTGGAGTAAATAGAAAACATATTGAGGTTTCCAAAACTGCTTTCAGTTTTCTGATCCCAGCTTTGGGATTTTAGAACATGTCGCCCAAAGTTGAAGTTTTGATAAAAAATAGGTCTTATTCGGAAGGACGCAGTGGCAACATTTTCAAAAAATAGGACAAGTTTTTTTACGCCAAAGCGTTCTGCGTAAAGATACCTTTTAGAAAACTATAAAATTGTTATATGTTCTTAAAGAAAATTTTATTTTATTAATAAAAGAGTTAAGACACATTTTTGGCAAAAAACGGCAAAAATCTAAAATTTTTTGAATTTTTAAATTAAAAAACGTACGTTTTTGGATCTGTAAATGATATTGATCTGAAATTTTTTGTATATTATTGGAAATTTTGTTGTCTAACTAACAAGAAAAAATTGAGTCCATTTGGTCCAAAATTACGCCCGGTATTCAAAAAAAGGCGGACCAAGGTATGGTAAATTTTGTATCACTAAATTTTTAAATGCCTATAACTCGGATATTATAAGAGATAAGTAGTATGTCCAAGCATGTTTTTTCAAGATCTCGTCGAGCGCTTTCAGAAAATATAAAAATCTTTGTATTTGGATGAAAAACAAATGGCACGAGTTTAAAAATTTTACATGTTCATCTTCAAAACTTAAACTCGAATACTCCTTGGCTACGCTCACGCCAAATTTTATCCCGATCGGATCAGCCGTTTAGAAATGCCAGATTTATTTCCAAAAAATTTCGATTCTGCCCCACTGTGCGCTACATACAGAAAAAGTTGTGCAGAATTTTTGGTTGATAATTTTCAAAATATATAAAAAATATCAAAAGATCAATTTATCCAAATTTTATATGAACAATGCTTTCTATGCATAGTTTGAGATGTCTACCTATTTAAGATTTGCAAAAGTGCAGTCTTTCGGGGCACTCTAATGAGTAGTCAAATACATATCTTCATGGTTTTTTAGATTTGAGCTGCATTTGAAAAATGGCAGCCGAATTTATATCAAGATAATTTTTTGATGGCATATTTACCTGATCATAGATTTTTATTGTTATCTCGATTAACAATAAATTTAATTTTTTATTTTTGATATAAAACTCGATTTGTATGGAAAATATGAGTGATTACGGTGTTAAAGGAAGGAACCACTGCCGATTTAAAATTCGAATTTAAGTGAAAATGTAATATGATTATATTATTTTCCCTATTTTAGAAGCGGTTTTTGTTCAGTAGTTTTTATTCAGCATACAAATGTGGCACCGTAGACATTCATTTAAGATCTAATAAAGATTCTGTTTTAAAATTGTTATTTTCTGAGAATATTCAGCAGATTTAATTAAATAATAATTCTCATATTATATATCATGTTCTTTAGCATTATAAATGTAACAAAAAGTGGACGGAAAAAGGTCATTGCATTTCATGGTGATAGATGGTATATATAACTTTGTCTTTATTCATGATCCTTATGAAATTCTAAATCGATTTAGC